ACAGTCAGGAATAAAATAAATAACCACTAACTTTGATGATGATTTCCGTCACTGTACATTGCTAATTAGGTTAGAAAACATATTAACAAACCATAGCTGTGTGTTTACCTGATGAAGCTGGAAATGTAGACATTAACAAATGTGGCCATGAGGTACTGGCAGTCGAACCGGTCCATAATGCCACCGTGACCCGGGATCGTGTTGGCAAAATCCTGGAAGAACAGACAACAGTACATGTGATCAGACTGCTGCTATGAATAGAATATAAATGGAGCAAAGACAACAGACAATAAAGGGATAGTTGGATTGTTTTGAAGTAAACAAACGTGTCAGAAATCCCTACTTTGATCTTGAAGGCTCTCTTGAAGCCTCTAAAACATAGGTGTAAATACACTGAACGAAAATATAAATGCAACACTTTTGTTTTTGCTCCCATTTTTCATGAGATGAACTCAAAGATCTAAAACATTTTCTATATACACAAAATAACCATTTCTCTCAAATATTGTTCACAAATCTGAAAAAATCTGTGATAGTGAGCACTTCTCCTTTGCCGAAATAATCCATCCCACCTCACAGGTGTGGCATATCAAGATGCTGATTAGACAGCATGATTATTGCACAGGTGTGCTTTAGGCTGGCCACAATAAAAGGCCACTCTAAAATGTTCAGTTTTATCAGTTTTATCACACAGCACAATGCCACAGTCGCAAGTTTTGAGGGAGCGTGCAATTGGCATGCTGACAGCAGGAATGTCCACCAGAGCTGTTGCCCGTGAATTGAATGTTCATTTCTCTACCATAAGCCGTCTCCAAAGGCGTTTCAGAGAATTTGGCGGTACATCCAACCGGCCTCACAACCGCAGACCACGTGTAACCACACCAGCCCAGGACCTCCACATCCAGCATGTTCACCTCCAAGATCGTCTGAGACCAGCCACTCGGACAGCTGCTGCAACAATCGGTTTGCATAACCAAAGAATTTCTGCACAAACTGTCAGAAACCGTCTCAGGGAAGCTCATCTGCATGCTCGTCGTCCTCATCCGGTTCGTCGTCGTAACCGAGTTGAGTGGGCAAATGCTCACATTCGATGGCGTCTGGCACGTTGGAGAGGTGTTCTCTTCACGGATGAATCCCGGTTTTCACGGTTCAGGGCAGATGGCAGACAGCGTGTGTGGCTTCGTGTGGGTGAGCGGTTTTCTGATGTCAATGTTGTGAATCGAGTGGCCCATGGTGGTGGTGGGGTTATGGTATGGGCGACGAACACAGGTGCATTTTATTGATGGCATTGTGAATGCACAGAGATACCGTGACGAGATTCTGAGGCCCATTGTTGTGCCATTCATCCACGACCATCACCTCATGTTGCAGCATGATAATGCACGGCCCCATGTTGCAAGGATCTGTACACAATTCCTGGAGGCTGAAAACATCCCAGTTCTTGCATGGCCAGCATACTCACCGGACATGTCACCCATTGAGCATGTTTGGGATTCTCTGGATCGGCGTATACGACAGCGTGTTCCAGTTCCTGCCAATATCCAGCAACTTGGCACAGCCATTGAAGAGGAGTGGACCAACATTCCACAGGCCACAATCAACAACCTGATCAACTCTATGCGAAGGAGATGTGTTGCACTGCGTGAGGCAAATAGTGGTCACACCAGATACTGACTGGTTTTCGGACCACCCCAGACCCCCCCAATAAAGCAAAACTGCACATTTCAGAGTGGCCTTTTATTGTAGCCAGCCTAAGGCACACCTGTGCAATAATCATGCTGTCTAATCAGCATCTTGATATGCCACACCTGTGAGGTGGGATGGATTATCTCGGCAAAGGAGAAGTGCTCACTATCACAGATTTTTTCAGATTTGTGAACAATATTTGAGAGAAATGGTTATTTTGTGTATATAGAAAATGTTTCATGAAAAATGGGAGCAAAAACAAAAGTGTTGCATTTATATTTTTGTTCAGTGTAATATAAATGGAGCAAAGACAACAGACAATAAATTGATAGTTGGATTGTTTTGAAGTAAACAAACGTGTCAGAAATCCCTACTTTGATCTTGAAGGCTCTCTTGAAGCCGCTGGCGAAGAATCCTCCAAAGGGTCCCATGATGGAGGCGAAGGAGGAGAGAGCGATGCTGTGGATCTGGAACGGATACAGACGCACCGTGGTCTGCGGAGACAAGGAACATGTGTCAGACTGAAACAGGGACCAGCAGTTCAATCAAACTAAACTAAACTAGTTATTTGGCTAAAATAGGACTTGCATCCCCAGGCTTTTAGTATCAAAATCAAACCCTGGCTGAAAAAACATGAGGTTCAAACGTGTGATAAAAACCTGGTGTTAAACAGGACTTCGGTTCTGTTAATGTGTACTCTAGAAACAACATTTATATATATTTTAACTTTACTTAATGAGTAACACAGGATTAAAACTAAATAACATAGCTGACACAATTAAAGTGTTTGAAAGGTTGCGACACATACATGATTCTACAAATATTATGGATCCCTCTTGTTTTTTGGCATACTAGTGATTTTATCGTTTCATAGTTACATGAATGTTCATATGACTTGTGATGCCAGAAAACAGGAAGGACAGATGAAGGTCAGGAGTCTTTCCCATCCGGTGAAGGACTCCAGGACGGAGGGCAGGGTGTACGTGAACATAGGGCCTGGATTATGACCAAAAATCACAGGATTGATGTGTCTTGTACGCTGAGTTGATCATATCCGCTTCACAAATGTTGTCTTAGATGATTGTTTTCCCTTTGATTTAACAGGCACTGATTTTTCTGCTTGAATATTTCTAGCTGTGAAAAAAAAGGCAAGATAATGTGCAAATGAAGAACTCTCACTGGTTCAGAACCTTTTTCCTTAACCGAGTCCCTTTTCTTTTCACTTTATATTAAATACCTAACAATAACAGTGCAGAACATCTAATACACTTCACTATGAATTCAGAACAATACAACTGCAGGAGTTTGGATACAGCGAGATGTTTGAATGCATTTAGAGCAGATTTGGGCAGAATCCAGCAGAGTGGATTGTGATGTTCATCCTATGTCATCTATATGTAAAGAAAAAAGTCTACATATTTAAGATAAAGCTGTGAAACAATCTCAATAATTGGCAGCAAAAATGTAAGTTTTTTAAAATTGGAATACAAGTATACATGTTGAGATAGGAAGTTCTAATATCTTAAGAGAAGTGCTTGAATATTAAAACAAACTCTTTTGGCTCCTTCCTGTCTTTCTACTGGGTCTTTCTTGGCTTTGTACTGGCTATCTTCTAGCTCTATCCCTGATCAATTTCAGAACCTGAAGGCTCTATACGGACTATCTTCTGGTTCTCCTCTGGATCCATCCACTATCTCTTGTCGATGTCCAGTGAACTACACTTGTGTTACTGGAGCAGGTAAAGCATACAAGATACTTTCAGCATTATTGGAGCACGAAATGGAAGCTTGGATGAAACACAGCGGACTTCTAATCAATGAACACCCGCAACTTAGAAGAAATAAAGTTGGGTTTATGCGTTCTAATATTGCAATGCAAACCCATGATGTAATGACAGTAATTAAGAATAGTGTAGTCATTGAATGCTCATTTCAGTAGATTTAATCAAACAAAACAAACCTATTGGACATGGCCTAAACACTGTAACCTCTTCACATTCTGTTGAAATAGTCAATTACTAGCCATATCTTACACATTGCTGTTTTGAATCATTAATATGTGGATCACACTTGAACTGGATGATGTAACATTTATGCCATCGGCTGGAAAGAAGACGTATCGCTCTGTGTGCGTCGTTTGGACAACAAAAAAACAGAGTGAAGCTCTCATTTCATAAACATTATTTGGCGCGTTCACACCAGAATACTTTTCCCACAATAGTTCATCAGAACTCAGATATATTTGCGTTCACACCAAAAAGACCCCTGAACTAAATTAGTTCATCAGAACCTTTTCAGTACCTGCTAGAGAGCAGGTACTTTCGTGGGAGAAAAAGGTTCCTATTTCTGAGTGGCTGGGCGGATTGCAAACCACGCCCCGTAAAACTCCCAAAAAGTTTTGTGAAGCCGCCATTTTATTATCCTCGCATTAGCATTAGCCCAGCACACAAACACTAACTTATGGCAACACAAAAGAAAACATGGGAGCGGTGGAGATGAGGAGATGAACTTGGTGCGAATGCCCCTATAGAGTACAGACTCCTTCCTGCAGAGAGCAAACAACCTAACAGCACATTTTTGGTCTGGCATCACTTTACAAAACGTTTGCATTAAGACACTAAGACTAGCTGGTCCATTGTAAAGGTCAGTCCACCCTAAATGAGCAGTGGGGGACACGGGAACTTGGTCCTGAGGAGATGTAACGATTATTAAACAAGAAATAGTCGAGTCAAGAGGTCGAATAAATGAACATTTGTGATTATTAGCGAATCGGTTGCAGGTGGGTGAAATCAGGCTTAGGGAGTAACGTATTACATGTAACGGCATTAGGTCATCAGGATACAAAATAGGCAAATGTATTCCCTTACAGTTACAGAAGCAAAAACAATCAGATAACAGGTACATTTGTGTAAAACAGGGCTCATTAACAGGATAGCAATGATAAAAAACATTTAAAAATAAAGAACAATACATCAAATCATCCTATATCTCTATATCAGTGTTTCTCAAACTTTTTCATACCAAGGACCACTTAATCAATAAAAAAACACTCGCGGACCACCTAACGTGGGCGGTGGTGGCGAAGTCGATAGGGACTTGGCTTGGCAACTGGAAGGTCACCAGTTCAAGTCCAGGTGCTACCGAGGTGTTCCTGAGCAAGGCACCGTTCCCCACACTGCTCCCCGGGCGCTGTTCAAAATGGCAGCACACTGCTCCTAACACTAGGATGGGTCAAATGCAGAGAAATTATTTCCCCACCAGGGATTAATAAAAGTCCATCTTATCTTAACTCCACAAATATCCAAAAACACATCGTTTTCTGCAAATCGCTTGAAACTGGTACAAACAAGTGGCCACATGTGTGATGAAGGTGTTTATCTGGGCTGTATCATGCAATCGAAAGTGAAACTTAAGCTCGCTCCATTGCGGAGATATTCCCGCGAGAGTGCGGAAAACTTTAATTAATTAATTAATTTCAAATGTGACATTTTACCAATATACTCACGGACCACTAGGGGCGCTCACGGACAACACTTTGAGAAGCACTGCTCTATATGGAAACTTGGAGCCCTCAATCCAAAATAAAATGGTTCATCAACAGTCCAGTGGTTAAAGTATAAGTCTGAAAATCAGTATGACAAAAACATTACAAATATTGTCCACTTATGTTAATAAAGATGGAGTTCATTCAAGTCTTATATGAATGTTGTGCAACAATGTTAATCCAGTCAGACAGATTTTTCTCATGTGTGAACTGTCATAAGACTTATTCATTGTCCTCTCCATCAGCTTCTGCTTCCATGTGTTCAGCTGAGCTGCTCTGATCAGCTCTGCTGATTGGAGGCTCTGCCTCTCCGTTATCCTCAGTTTGAATTGCATTAAGCTGTGAGGACTGACGACCAACACACTTGTGTCTTTTTAAATCACTACACCATTTAAATCTTTTGTCACAAACATTGCAGCTGTATATTTCCTCTCCTGTGTGGACTCTCATGTGTTCCTTTAAACTTCTATTCCGTGAAAAAGCTTTCTTACAGACTAAGCATCTGTATGGTTTCTCTCCTGTGTGGATTCTCATGTGTTCCTTTAAACTTCCACTCTGTGAAAAAGGTTTCTTACAGACTGAGCATCTGTATGGTTTCTCTCCTGTGTGGATTCTCATGTGTTTTTTAAAGCTGTCACTAAATGCAAAAGTTTTGGTACAAAATGAGCAGCTAAAGGCTTTCTCTCCTTTGTGGATTTTTGTGTGTTCCTTTAAACTTCCACTCTGTGAAAAAGATTTCTTACAGACTGAGCTTCTGATTGGTTTCTCTCGTGTGTGGACTCTCATGTGTCGCTGAATATTTCTTCTATATGTAAAAGCTTTCTTACAGACTGAGCAGCTGAATGGTTTATTTGCAGCACTACGGCTTGAATCACTGACCGATTCTTGTCTATTTTTCATTGAGTTTGACCCTGAAGCAGGTTCTCTGGTCTCCTTCCAATCAGCACTGTGTTCAGTGTTAGGTTCAGAAGAGTCTCCAGTCTTTGGTTGTAAACTGCTCTCTGGATCTGAGTTCCTGGCTGGTTCTGGTCCTCGACAGTCATCTCCATCAGCTTCTGTTTCCATGTGTTCAGTTAATCTTTGATGAGGCTGAGAGGACTGAGGTTTCTCTATATCATCTTCACTCTTCGCAGGATCAGGAGTGAAAGTGGACTTGGTGATATCAGCTTCCTCTCCCTCATGAAGCTGCTCTCCATCCTGATTGATCCCAAGTTCCTCCTGTTGTGTGGGGGGCTCTGGGTCCTCCTGGTCCAGACTGGTGCTAAACTCCTGCTGGTCAGGGAGAACCTCTTCTTGAACCACCACCAGCAGCTGGACATCTGCAGGAAACAGGAAACACACAATGGGAGATATTTTGCAGCCCTAATTAAGACCTTTGTTTTTATACTTTCATATTATTTTTCTTAGTCCCACCTATTGTGTATTTTTGTTGTCTCAATTCACCTTATGTAGCCCAACCCCTTTCCACTTCCAGTTACAAATGAAAAAGGGGTTTTTCTTCTGGTTTAGCACTAGCTGCAATGTAAAAAAGGAATTGTATTTGGCATAGTTCACTAGTGAACCTATAAGATTAGTATGATCCGGTAATGGCTCTACAACACCATCAGGATCCTCTAGTTTCAATTTCTTCACTTCCTTTTTCTTTTCACCTACCTTCTTTTTGGTTTTCCATCCTATGGCCCCTTTTCTTTTCATTCGCATTCTGCGTTTGCTTTTCATTTTTCTTCTCTTTTTCATTTTTCTTTTTCTTTTCTTTTCTGCTAATTGTCGTTTGCGATCTTGGCGAGTGGTATGAGATATACTGTTTCTATAAAGGTTATCTATAATACCATCTTTTAAAGAAAGATATTCTTCATATGTCATGTTATCATGGTCCTCTTTTGTCCTAAAGACCTTACATGGATATGATATAGAGGAGAGCTCTTCTTCGGGAACATCCTCTCCCCTACTTTGTAACATCCAGTCAATAAGCCCGTATCCGTTATCCTGGCGATAATAAGGGGAGGCTACATCAGACTTGGTTTTTCTCAGATTCATGGCTAGTTTTCAACGGTCGTCTTAGTGGGGGTCCTTAGTTTTATATGATTTGCTGATTGGGGTGGGACTTATTGCGTTGAGTGGGAGGAGTCATCTGTAGAAAGTGCTCTGTTTTATTAGATTTCGTAAAGCATCTGACTCTTAATGGCAGTTTGTGATTTTGAGGCTATTTCAGTGAAACAAGGCTGTTTTGAAACATTTGACAGATTTATGCTTAAATTCTCTGAGAAAGTTACTGAAAGATACAAGTTTGTGTTTAAAAGCTGACCACTACCATGAAGTACTCTGTTTGAGTAGATTTCAGTACACAGGGTCTGACAGAAAAAACATAATGTTTTGAACATTTGACAGATTTACGCTTAATTCTCTGAGAAAGTTACTGAAAGATACACTTTGTGTATAAAAAAGCTGACCACTACCATGAAGTACTCTGAGTAGATTTCGTAAAGCATCTGACTCTTAATGGCAGTTTGTGATTTTGAGGCTATTTCATTGAAACAAGGCTGTTTTGAACATTTGACAGATTTATGCTTAAATTCTCTGAGAAAGTTACTGAAAGATACACTTTTGTGTTTAAAAGCTGAAAAGTAAATAATGAAGTACTTTGTATTAGTAGATTTCGTCAAGCATCTGACTCTTAATGGTCCTCTCTAAATTTGATTCAGGGGTTTGTTTTAAATGATTTGTGCTTTGTGTGTACAGACACACAGAAAACACTGAAAAACACAAAAAGAAGGACTGTAATACACATGTATCAGACACGCTCCCCTTGCTATAACGAAGATAACAGTTTTTAAATGTAAAAAAAACACTTTTTTTTATTTTTTTCACACACAAAAATCTAAAAGTTATACTGATTGTAACATCCCCAGGACCGTCTCCAGCTTAGAATTCCCCATATTACTGGAAATATCGTGATGGAGTTTTTTCACTTCAGTCAGAATATTCATGTGTATGCTGCTTTCGACACAAAGATGCATTACATCGACAAACAGAGCATACAATGAGAGCACATGATACACTTTTGATGTTTGTTTGATTTCTGAGATAATGTTACAGAATGTTTCGGAAGATGAAGATTCCAGGACCACTTTAAATGTTTCGTTTACAATTGTTTCCCAATGACCCGGAATAGTACTGCCAGAACGAACGATATCCAAAATGTCTTCCAGTTTACAAACTTCAGCCATTCTTTTTACACAGGGGTCACTACTCGTTCTGTTTTCAATCGTCCTCATCACCACACTTATTAAAAGGGTATTGACTACATTCTGATCAATATATACAGAGCATTTTGCATAGTAGTTTCCCATTTTTATTTTACTTTAAAGAAAAAAAAAAGTCAATGTATCGAACAAGTCCCTGGCTTCAGTCAACTGCTGGTTATTAGTCTTCTTCTTCTCCATCCAACTCTGCATGGATCTTTTCAAGTCTCTCCTTGAGGCGTCTGGAGTTTTTGAGATTGTGAAGAAAAGCCTCCGAAGCGCCTTGGATCCTCCAATCATCCGTGAAAATGTCTTTATCAATAAGAGTCTGGTCGATCTCAGGAATGAAGTCGGTGAGCCAGAGTCTTTTCATTAACGCGTTGTAATTGTTTCTGAAGTAAAAATCGGACATGTCATTCAGGAAATCGTGTTGCCTTTGGCCGGGGTGACTGACTCGGCACCCGTTGCATATTTCTTCTCTGTACCGATGTATCACCTGTTGTGGAAATAATTATCATAAGACGCCAATTAGTAACATACAAGACAAACCTCGATGTCTGTTTACCTTCTTTAAGGACACAGGCGGCTTAGCCAATAATGTTATTGTTCCCATTCTGTGACCGGTCAATACTGGGATACAGATGGTCTGTGTTGTGGGTACACTGGGACACTTCCTTCTCTGTATTTGTGGACTCCAAGGTAAAATCTTCGAGGTCATAAGTGTCCGAGGCAAGTAGCTCTGTGCTCCCACACTGTTTAGGCTATCTCCTCAAATATGTTGTTTACTCTCTGCGAAACCAGTTAGATGGGCTGGCAAGAGAGAGGCTCTCCAGAATTGACGTGGCAACTCTACCGTGAAGTCAGAACCTCTGACTCTTGGACTTGTGATGTGAATCCTCCGGCCGTTAACTCCAAATAAACCATCATGTGTTTGACATCAAAGCTACTGCTCTTCCCGTGTCTCCTTCCTGAGTCGGTGACTCCCACTGCATAGCTACACAGAAGTTTCCATTACAAATTGGCGTTGTCGGCAGGATGCCAACAGATCTTCAGATTGTGGTAAGTGTGATTTTCAAATCTACTTTGGACATTGCCTTATCAGAATCTGTGATTGACGGTATCCTAAAATTACCTGTGAAACTGATCGGCTGCGTTTCCTTTTGGTTAATGAACATTTGGGGATGATAAACCCAGGAGATCAGTGTCTGGGGACTCAGTCCTGGCTGATTTCCTCTGTGTATGCTGCTCGGGACGGAAGTGCCATACAGGCATACACAGCTCATGTTTAGAGATACCTTAAAGAAAGGGCATCAGTGAAGTGGAGCTTCTGTGTGAATTGAAAGCAATGTAAAAGATTTGTATTGGACAAATCGCCGGATTTTGAGGGTCTTAGTGGCTAAACATAGCAGTTGAAAATAAGCAGCCAAAGATATTTGCTGCTATCACCTCTCTGTAAAAACACGGCTCCAGCTGCAGCCTTGCGTGTGTGTGTAAAACCTCACCGTGTGTGTGTGGGGCTGGAGCAGTGCAGGCTGAGAGGAAGAAAGTCACAGCTTATTGCCTATAGGTTTTAACTCACGGCACCGCCGTCCTTCAAACGGGACGGTCTAAAAGCACTCGTTGTTTAGGACCGCTTTTCTCATGGTTAGACGGGCCAGCGCGAAGTGCGTGCATCACCCGATGCGCTACGGCTCTCTGGAGCAGGTGGCGGTCAGGAGTGCATACATAAAATTATAGGCTAATTGATCAGAGGTGTGTAGTGGCAAGCAAGCATAGGCAAACTGTGTTTCACCTTGAGGTGAACTCGATGGCGAGTAGATATAGGCTGGTCGTACGGACTACAGTCAACTGAGCTGTTGTTTGGAGAGAAAGGGCAGGGGAAAAGTCTGTGGGCTCCGATCGGGGGGGCACAGCGCCACTAGAAACAGATAGCCTAGTGGTTGTCGCAGGAGGATAAGCTAGTTATCGTTCTTGGACGGCTTTCAGGCACCGATAAATCACTTGTATGCAAGGGTGAGGCGTGAGAAGACGCCGCACTGGAGAGAATTCCCACCCCCTCTAAGATCTCTAAAATCCGGACTAAATTGAGCTGGATGAGCTTTGCTGTCGCGCTGGTGTTTATTAAGAGTTCATGTTTTGTTTGTCTGATTGTTTGTATGGGGGTCTATATTGGTTTGTCCCGCCGTCTTGTGTATGTTTTGTAACAATAATGAATCAGTCCATAGACAGGGTAAAATGAACTAAACTGTAGTTATCTCACCAAAAGTAAATGACCTGAGAAAAATAAAAAGTGTTTTTATGTCCTGCCTCTGAGTGCAGGGGAACATGTAAACAAGAAGCCCACTGTGCAGGGTGTGCGCTGTAGGTGTAAGAAGAAAATAAGATTATATTGCTTTAAGAATCCATTCTTAGATGGTATTGCTGGTATGTTAAGATATCTTTGTGACCTTGTATAAACCCTATGCCCGTCCTGCGCCCCGAGACCCTCAGAGACTTGCCTGAGGAGATCAGGGTTGCAAAATCTGGTTTTAGGTCAATGTTGTATTATTTGTTTCATTTATTCTTAATCTATGTATTGTATAGTAATAATGAATAAAAACGTAATGTATTGAACACATTCCGAAACAAAGCAGATAAGCAGAACAAGACTCAGACATAATACTAATTGTTGTTGAAACCTTTTGCGCTGTTGCAGCAAAATGGAAACTGTGTTAATTATTCTGTTCCAACTGGCCACTGGAATCAGGTAATTAATATAAGTTGAAGTTCAATTACAGTTTTAAAAATAGTTTAACATTATTTATTAAACTGCTTGAAAATATTTCTAGTATCAACCAATTGGTCTCTGTAGACAATACTAACATTAAAATAGTTGTTAAACTACTGACAAGTTTTCTGAAAGCGAGCTTATGAACAACAGAGTAAAGGTCGCTGGTTAAGCCAGGATCAATATATTTGTTGAAGTTTTTATTGTGTGCATAATAAATGTGTTAAATTAATTGAGCAATTCTTTAAAAGTATAATGTTGCAATTTCTTTAAAATAAGTAATTACAGTTACAAAATAGGTGTTGTTTTC